TGTGGGCTGTGAGCCCCGGGACAGCGTGAGCAGTGAGCCCTGGTACAACACACCCAAAACATGAACTCTGATTTCTCTCCACAGATGCTGCCAGAACTGCTGAGATTTTCCAGCAATTTCTGTTTTTTGTTCCAGGAATTATAGTACTTGCCTCTTCGTCGATGGTAGGGAAATTCCATAATAACCTTTGCTTTCACATCCCGTGGGGCCATCTGCCCATGTCCAATGATATGGTCTAGTAACATGACTTAGGCTTTTGCGAATTCACTCTTAGCCAGGTTTGTCACCAAGCCTGATTCCTGAAGTCGATCAAACAATTCCATTCGATGCTCCAGATGTTCCTTTCATGTGTGACAAATATCACCATATCATCTATGTACACCACACAATTGGGTAATTCGGAAATGACATGATTGGTTAATCTTTGAAATGTCACTGCCACATTTTTGTACCAAATGGCATGACTTTAAACTGGTAAAGCCCATTTGGTTTCACGAAAGCCGAAATGTCCTTCGCTCTTTCGGATAAAGGTACCTGCCAGTATACTCTTGAGTAAGTTCAGCTTAAGCTACTTGTCCTACATCCTCCATGTAGTCTTACAAAGGTGGAATAGGATACAAATCAGATTTCGTAACTGCATTGACTTTGCGATAGTCCACACAAAATCGTCGGATACCATCTGGTTTTGTCACCATCACTATGGGTGAGCTCCATTTGATTATGTCGTCTGTGAGTATGCTTTCAATCTCTTTTTGAACCTGTGCCAATTTTAGAGGGTTATGTCTATAAGGATGTTGCTTAATTGGAACAGCATTTCCTATACCTACACCATGCATAATAATAGAACATAAAACTGTACAGCACAGGAACAGGCCCTTTGGCCCACAATGTTGTGCTGAACATGACGCCAAATGAAACTAATCCCTTCTGTCTGCCCTTGGTCCATATCCCTCCATTCCTTGCATATTCGTGTGCTTACCTAAAAGTCTCTTAAACACCCCTATTGTATCTGCCTCGACTACCAATCCTGGCAGCATGTTCCACACTCCTACCACTCGTTGTGTAATAAAACTGCCCCTCAAATGTCCTTTGACCTTTCCCCCTTTCACATTAAATGCATGCCCCCTAGTTTTAAACATTTCAACTCTGGAAAAAAGACTCTGACCATCAACCCTATCTTTGCATTTCATGATTTTATACACTTCTCTCCCCTCAGCCTCTGCCAGTCTAGAGAAAACAACCTGAGTTTTTCTAGCCTCTCCTTATAGCTCATACCCTCTAATGCAGGCAGCATCCTGGTAAACCTCTTCTGCACCCCCTCCAAAGCCTCCACATTCTTTCTGTAATGTGACAACTATAACTGAACGCAGTACTCGAAGTGTGGCCTAACCAAAGTCTTAGAAAGCTACAACGTGACATCCTGACTCTTGTACTCAATTTCTCACCAATAAAGGCAAGCGTGCCATACGCCTTCTTTACCACCCTATCTACTTGCATGGCCACTTTCAGGGAGCTATGCACTTGAACCCCAAGATCCCTCTGTACATCAATGCTGTTCAGGGTCCTGCTATTAACTATATATTTTTCCTTAACATTTGATCTCCCAAAGTGTAACACCTCACATTTGCACAGATTAAACTCCATCTGCTATTTCTCTGCCTATATCTGCAACTGATCTATATCCTGCTGTATCCTTTGACAACCTTCTACACTATCCACAACTCCACCAATCTTTGTAACATCTGCAAGCTTACTTACCCACCCATCTACATTTTCATCCAAGTCATTTACATATATCACAAACAGCAGAGGTGCAAGTACAAATCCCTGCTGAACACCAGCAGTCATGGACCTCCAGCCTGAAAAACGCCCTTCCACCACTACCCTCTGCCTTCTATGAGCAAGCCAATTCTGAATCCAAGCGGCCCAGTCATGGATCTTAATCTTCCAGATGAGCCTACCATGAGGGACCTTGTCAAAAGCATTACTAAAATCGATGTAAACAACATCCACTGCTCTACTCTCATCGATCACCTTTGTTACCGCCTCAAAAAATTTAGTCAAGTTAGTAAGACATGACCTGCCCTGCACAAACCCATGCTGACTGTCCCTAAGTAGGCCATGCTTTTCCAAATGTGTGTAAATCCTATCCCTAAAAATTCTCTCCAATAGCGTCCCAACCACCAATGTGAGACTCACCAGCCTGTAGTTTCCTGGAGTATCCTTATTTCCCTTCTTGAACAGAGGAACAACAGAGGACTCGCCAGTCCTCTGGGACCTCTCCAGTGGCTAATGAGGATACAAAGATTTTGGTTAAGGCCCCAGCAATCTCCTTTCTTGCCTCTCTCAATAACCTGGGGGAGATATCATTGGGCCCTGGGAACTTACCTACCTGAATGCTCTTCAAGAGATCCAACACTATTTCTTTCTTGATCTTAAAATGCTTAGCATATTAGCATGCTCCACACAAATCTCACTATCCTCCATGTCCTTCTCCTTGATGAATACTGATACAAAGTACTCATTTAAGATCTCACCCACTTCCTCTGCCTCCAAGCACAAAATTTCCTCCTTTATCCTTGACTAGTCCTCCCTTCTCTCTAGTTATCCTCTTGGTTTTAATGTATCTATGAAATGCCTTGGAATTCTCTTTAACCCTACTTGCCAAGGTCATTTCATGGCCCCCTCTTGTTTTCCTAAATCCCTGCCTGAGTTCTTTCGTACTTTCTTTATATTCCTCATGGGCCCTGTCCGATTTTAGCTTCCCAAGCCTTACATAAGCTTCTTTTCCCCTTTTGACTAAACTCATAACCTCCCTCATTATCCAAGTGTCCCTTACCTTACCATCCTTGTTATTCCTGCTTACTGGAACATGCCAGTCCTGAACTCTGATCAGCCGGTCTTTAAATAACTCCCTCGTGTCAAATGTGGATTTGCCTGATAACAGCTCTTCCCAATTAACACTCCCTAGCTTCTGCCTAATACTGACATAATTTTCCCTCCCCCAATTTAGTACCTTCCCGCAAGGTCCTGATTTATCCTTGTTCATAGCTATCTTAAAACATCAGGAGTTGTGATCACCGTTTCCAAAATGCTCTCCCACTGAAAGGTCAGCCACCTGGCTAAGCTCATTAGCTAATACAAGGTCCAGTATGGCTCCTCCTCTAGTTTGATTATCCACATACCTGTTTCAAGAAACCGTCTTGGATGCACTTAACAAATTCTAACCTGTCAAAGCCTCTTGCTCTATGGGAGTCCCAGTCAAAACCAGGGACCTTGTCAAAAGTCTTACTAAAATCCATGTAAACAACATCCACTGTTCTACTCTCATTGATCACCTCAAAAAATTTACCGCCTCAAAAAATTTAGTCAAGTTAGTAAGACATGACCTGCCCTGCACAAACCCATGCTGACTGTCCCAAAGTAGGCCACCCACTATGATAACTCTGTTTTTCTTGCACCTTTCAAAAACCTGCCTACATATTTGTTCCTCAATCTCTTAATTTAGAAACGTAGAAGATAGGAGCAGGAGGAGGCCATTCCGCCCTTCAAGCCTGCTCCACCATTCTTCATGATCATGGTTGATCGTCCAACTCAGTAGCTTAATCCTGCTTTCTCCCCATAACCTTTGATCCCATTCTCCCCAAGTGCTATATCTAGTCACCTCTTGAATACATTCAATGTTTTGGCAACAACTACGTCCTGTGGTAATGAATTCCACAGGTTCATCACTCTTTGGGTGAAGAAATGTCTCCTCATCTCCGTCCTAAATGGTCTACCCCGAATCCCCATACTATGATCTCTGGTTCTGGACACACCCACGATCGGGAACATCCTCCCTGCATCTACCCTGTCCGGTCCTGTTAGAATTTTATAGGTTTCTATGAAATCCCCTCCTCATTTGTCTGAACTCTAGCAAAAACAATCCCAACCTAGTCAATCTCTCCTCATACGTCAAACCTGCCATCCCTGGAATCAGCCTGGTAAACCTTTGCTGCACTCCCTCGAGAGCAAGAGCATCCTTCCTCAGAAAAGGAGAACAGAACTGCACATAATATTCCAGGTGTGGTCTCACCAAGGCCCTGTATAACTGCAACAACACATCCCTGCTCCTGTACTTGAAACCTGTCACAATGAAGGCCAACATACCATTTGCCGCCTTTACCACCTGCTGCACCTGCATGCTTACCTTCAGTAACTGGTGCACAAGGTCACCCATGTCCTGCTGCACCCTCCCCTCTCCCAATTTACAGCCATTCAGGTAGTAATCAGTCTTCTTGTTTTTGCTTCCGAAGTGAATAACCTCACATTTATCCAAATTATACTGCATCTGCCATTGATTTGCCCCCTCACCCAACCTGTGGAGATCATGCTGAAGGATTTCTGCATCCTTGTTACGGTTCGCCCTACCACCCAACTTGGTATCATCTGCAAACTTTGAGATGTTACATTTTGTTCCCTCATCAAAATCATTGATATATATTGTGAATAGCTGGGGTCTCAGCACCAATCTCTGTGGCACCCCACTTGTTACTGCCTGCCAATTTGAAAAGGACCTATTAATTCCTACTCTTTGTTTCCTCTCTACCAACCAGTTTTCTATCCATCTCAGTATACTTCCCCCAAACCCATGTGCTTTAATCGTGCACATTAATCTCTTACGTGGGACTTTGTCAAATGCTTTCTTAAAGTCCAAATATACAACATCGACTGGCTCCCCCTTGTCAACTCTAATAGTTACATCTTCATAGAATTCCAACAGATTTGCCAAAGCATGATTTCCCCTTCATAAATCCATGCTGACACTGTCTGATCCTGCCACTGCTTTCTAAATGCTCTGCTATAAAATCTTTAACAATGGATTTGAGAATTTTCCCCACTACTGATGTTAGGCTCATCGGTCTATAATTCCTTGTTGTCTCTCCACCTCCCTTTTTGAATATTGAGGTGACATTAGCCACCCTCCAATTTGCAGGGACTGTTCCAGAGTCTAGAGAATCCTGGAAGATGACCACCAATGTATCCACTATTTCCAGCGTTACTCCCTTAAATTCTCTGGGATGTAGATTATCAGGCCCTGGGGATTTATTGGCCTTCAATCCCAACAATTTTCCCACCACCATTTCTCTACTATATTGATCTCCCTCAGCTCTTTCCTCTCACTAAATCTTGCATCCTCCAACAATTCTGATAGCTAATTTGTGTCCCCTTTTGTGAAGACATAACCAAAGTATATATTCAGTTTCTCAGCCGTTTCTTTGTCCCCTATTATACATTCCCCCGTTTCTGTCTGTAGGGGACCTACATTTCTCTTTACCAATCTCTTTCTCTTCACACATCTATAGAAACTCATAGCATCAGTCTTTATTTTCCCTGCATGCTTAAGTTCCTACTGGATTTCCCCCTTCTTAATTGATCCCTTGGTTCCTCTTTGCTGAATTCTAAACTGCACCCAATCCTCAGATTTATTATTTTTCTTCGCTAATGTGTATGCTTCTTCCTTGGATCGGATACTATCTCTTATTTCATT